TTAATATAATGATTTGAAAGAAGAGATGTTTTTGTTTGGAAAGTTTCAAAGAAATTAAGTCTAAATCATTTAGTTGGAAGTGTGACTGCACATTACCATTGTAGGGATGATATGCCTTGTCTTAAACCATCTCAAACAACATGCAAAGCTCACTGCGCAATTACATAGTATACATTCTAGGTTAGCCTTTTAACTTTTCAATTAATAAATGATTGTGGTTTCTTCTGAAAATGAAGACTATCAAATTATTCTGCCTAGCCATAGAAACATGCATTGTCTTCCTCTGGAAAAAGCTTTACAGCAGCGTTCGCTTTTGAATATTTACGTGCTGCAGCAATGATTTTAAAACAGTTGAAACCATTGGATTTAATGGCTCATAACTGGAAATATTACTGTCAGTGCAGTGCCTTTATTCCTTAGTTCTCTGTTGTTGTTGTTTTTACTGAAACTCTTAACATTGTTCCAAAATACATTGATTGGGCTAATCAACTTAGCTCTAGAAATTTATATTGTATTCTACCTTCTCTGAAGATGAATGTGTTATGAATCTTCAGTCACCAAGGCTAATTTAATGACCTATTAAAATACATATTGTATTATAGTTACTTACAGAATTCTGTACTTTAGAACTGATACTGTGTGCAAAATAAATAATGAAATGTAAGCATATCCACAATATATAGAGATACTGCAGATTGTTTTCCATATAGTAATGGAACTCTTTACAAATGTCAGATATAAATGAAGATTTTTGTGCAGATTTGTATATGATTCCTGGAAATATCTCACACTAATTACTGTATAGTCATATAGTGGCTAATATAATTAAGCAAGAGGAACTTGTTTCCAGAAGTTATGCTAAGGAAGCCAATCAGTTTGGAAAATAAACCTAGTAATGATATTCCTACTGAAGCTAGAAACTGACATGTACATGTTTCACTTTTAACTGCTTCAACCATAAATTGACACAATTAATTTTTCAACTTCTGATCTCATTAGTTTAGTTGAATTTGGCAGTGGATTTAATTGAAACACAAGGTAGAGAGAATGATTTGAAAAACTACGTTTTGAGACAAGATGTGCTCAATTGCAAAGGGTATGTCCTAATGATTACTGAGTACCCATTGTAATCTCGTGAGATGGAAGGTGACCAAATTTGAAATATAAATAAAAATAAATTGTGATTGATTTAATTATTGTTTTCAAATGAGTAAGGAGAGGCAAAAACTATAGAAGGAACATAAGGCCGGCCATTTCTATGGAATGAGCTTATTAAACTAATGAACAAGGACAGCTAACAGGTAACAGGAATTGGTGACAGAGTTCGAAGAGGAGATCCTCAACATTTTTTTTTCTCTAAGTCAAAAGCGTGCTTGGCTAATATGAGAACCTGAGACGGGAACAAGAAATAAAAGCATTTCTGTTTGTGGTGCCTTAAGAAACAGAAGTGAACTTAAATGGACATGACAAGGCAATAATGACCTGCAATACTTGTGGCATGTTTTTGTTCTTGCTTGAAAACAATTTGGCATATATTTGCAGCATACACAAGTTTGTAATGGTGCTTGAAGAAAAAATAGGTTTGCAGCAGTGAGTGGCCATATTTCAGCTTTTCAAAAAGATTTATTACACCAAACACCAATAACAACAAAAAGTCATTACCAAAGGAGTTGACAGAATAAATAACCTTCTACAAGGGAGAAAAAAAACAGGAAAGAAAGCAAGTCCAGTGGATAAGAGTGATAATCAGAAAGAAGAGACATGGAAGATAGGGCTGTTCAAACATTCAGAAGAGCTGCTTCATAAAGTGTTTAAAGTTGCCACATCCATGGGGAGGCTCACTTTTTTCATATGCATGCAGGCACAGCAATTTTATTTTTCTGATAGCGAAAATGCTGGTTGTACACAGGCAAGGTGTTGTAGTACTTGGTGAATTTTTAGTGCAAGAGCATATTAGCTCATGAAGTAGGCTGTTTCCCAAGGGCATTGATCAGAATGTGATGGAGTAGCTGCCAAGACTAACAGCACTTCTTCCTTATCCAATGCATGGACAAATGATACCACTAAGAACACATCACTTTGGCCCTAGAAAGAAGCTGATAAGCTTGGGCCTATCCTTTTCCTCCTTGAAATATTAAAGCAGCTGCATCCTTTTGGAAAGTTTATGTAACTGCACTGAAATTCTGACACTTGGAGGCCCAACTATCTTGAGTAGCATGGAAGCTGGTAAATTAACTTTCCTGAATAGAAATAGCTTGGAAACAATTATCCAGGGCTTATTAATTACTTTGTTACTAGACCCAAGTTGCTTATAGTAATCAGCAGTGATAAAATGTGGAATAACATTTGATAACTACCATGACATATAGTACAAAATAAGGTTACCAGATTTTAACAAGAATAACAGCTGAGAAAATATCTTGTCCGAACTGACAGAACTATGTTGATTGCCATTTTGTTTTTGATCCAACTGAAGGTCCTTGTGTTGAATTATTATAGACTGCTTGAATCTCAAATCATTAAATGTCTGTCTATATCTAAAATCATCTACTAATACTCTTCTTCAGATACTGTGCAATTGGAACAGGTTGTGATTTGAGTGGTTGTAAATGTGCCCCCCTCAACCCTTATGGAACTGCTCCTGGAGAGGACCATCTGCTACATACTCTGTTGTTCTTTGGGGATCAGAAACCTCTTTTAATCTCCCAGCTTTCTCTTATTCTAATTTTTATTATTTATTCTTCCTCTTCCTTCTCCTCCTCCTCCCTTCCTCCTCCTCCTCCTCCTCCTGATTAAACTTTTTAAATATGAATTGCCATGGAATATTTTGTGATGAGTTAGAATATATACTTTCCCCAAGTAAAGAAACCACAATGGGTCAGCTGGTAGCCCTGGCACTTATAAAGGCTTCCAGCTCTGAATGATGTGAAGTAAAAACTCTGAGGACTACTTCACTGAAATATCTGTCAGATGCTGTCAGTACCACTTGACTGCATTTAATACAGTATTCTACACTGAAAGTCTTCATGTGATTAATTTTGTTATCAATAAAGTTAAATTCAACATCTTACAAGTACCATCTTATTCTCTTTCAAATTTCATCAAAGCCAGCAAATCTAAAACTTGCTTGCTACATAACAATACCGTGCTAGACAGAATAGGTTCTATAAAGTGATATTTAGTCTGAATACTTTCCCTGCTTACGCTTAAGATTTTCTATTACTTTATGCTGGAAAGGTCAGAATGAAAGGGCTAGGGATAAAAAGGAAGATAACATCAAAAGTATAAATGGGACAGATTTGCAGAGGTGCTGGCCCCAGGATGTGACTTGTATGTATCAATATGAATGTAAATGACATAATGATTAAATGAGGGATTCAACAACTCACAAGAAAACTACACTTTTTTTTTCTTATTTTTAAATAGCCTACCTGATAATACATATTAATGTTAGTAATTTGTAGCCTAAAAGTGAACAAAACATGAACTTCTATGACACTTTTCTGTCTAGAATGGAGGCGTTTTTATTTGCCAGAGGTCACTATGAGCAATTACGTTCAAACCTATGTCAGTTATAAGTGATTATAAATGATATCCATCGTGCATTAATATATATATAAGAAATGTGTGAACATGCATAATATTGGTGATGTTAATATATCTTTGTATATTACTATATCTTTATCAATGATTGTTGTATGCTGCCCAGAGTCGCTTTGGTGAGATGGGCGGCTATATAAATTTGCTAAATAAAAAAATCAATCAATTAATTAATTAA